AATTTGGAAAATTTTCAGCCAATATGTCTTTGAATATTTTTATGTCATATTTTTCCTCCTTCTACTTCTGGGACTTATTTACATGTACATTTGACTGCTTGATAATGTCCCACAAGTCATTTTGGCTTTTCCATTATTTAAAGATGAAATGCTCCAGTTTGACACTTTCTATTTTCCTGTCTTCAAGTCATTTGATCCTTTATTCTGTAACCAGTTTGTTGTTAATCCATCACAAAATGTTTTTCCATACATTGTATTTTTTAATTTTAGGATCTTATTTGCTTCTTTTTAAAGAGTTTCCATATCATTCTGAAATTCCTCTTCTATTCATCACGTATACCTCTCTTTTCCTATAATTTCATGATCATATTTATAATAGTTACATTGTGAACTCATTGTCTGCTAATTCCAAATCTGGATTATATTTATATCTTCTTCTATTGACAGAATTTTATTCTTATCAATTTTGAGACACATTTCCTTCTTGCTGACTTGTCTATTAATTTTTTTTATATACTGGGTTTTATGTTGTACAGACTACTATTTTTCTCTCAGTTATGTCTTAGTAGTAGTTAAGTTATTGGTGAATCATCTTGATTCTCTGGAGACTTGATTTTAAGCTTTATCAGAGCAGATCTATTTTAGTTTTGCCCTTGGTTCTAGGGCATAACTCTTAGTCTGAAAATGTAGTTCTAATGCTTAATGTGTTCCTTTTAGAGTTTCAATGGAAATACAAACTGCTTACCAAGCCCCTCAAACTTGAGTGAGGCTGAACCTTGAACTTTGTCTCCCCAGAACTGGGCAGTTGCTGAAATCTCTGTTTAGCTTTTAGCATTCAAGCTGTTGTTTTGCCTTAGATTCCTTTGCAGTTTAGGACTCACCCAAGAATTGAGAGATGCAGACTGGGGAACTTCTACTTTGTGATTGCCTCCTTCCTGGGATTTCTTCCTTCAATTACCAGTTGCTTTTGCAACCCAGACTCTTCTGGCTAGTCAACTCAGTAAGAGCTTCCAGCTTTCTTTTTTTTTTAAGGGTTACATCTCCCCAGTTTTTACCAGCTTTTGTTACTGTCCAGAACCTCCAAAGAGTTGTGTTTTATATTTTTTACAGCATTATAACTGCTATCAGCAAGATGATTAGTTTGCTATGAGCAACTCTGCCATTAGTGCATTTAGATTTGTCACATTAAGTTTTAAATGAATGATACAGTTAGGGATCAACTCTTCTAAGAAAAATTATATTACAGCAGAAGGCAAGGCCAAAACAAAATATTTTTTGGTAGACTTTCTAGTAATAACATTCAGGTGTAAAGGGAATTTGGAGTACAGTCTCCTCAGTGCATGGGCTATATCAACACATCCCTTAAAAATCTCTTATCCCAAGGGGGAAGATGGGGCATTATGATTACCACACATAATGTAGTGGGTGGGGGGACACAAAAAAGGCTATATATATACAGAGAAGACAAGTAATGATTCTATAGCATCTTACTATGCTGATGGACAGGGACTGTAATGGGGTATGTGGGGGGAACTTGATAGTAGGGGGAGTCTAGTAACCATAATGTTGGTCAAGTAATTGTACATTAATGATACCAAAAAGAAAAATCTCTTATCCCCTGCCTCTATCTCTCTCCCACTGAGATTTAACATTGTTTTAACAGCTCTAAAAGAATAAGGAAAAATTGAATGCTCTCCTCAATTTCCAGAACAAATTTCTATTACTGCCTAACAACAACCCCTACAACATTTGAAAATAACAGTAATACTTGCCTATGTCACCTTCATTTCCTAGACTTCTCTCCCCTCTTCCAGATGCCTGAGCATCTGGCTCACATTTTTCCTTCTCCTGTAAACTCAGATCAAATATTCACTGATGTCATGTAGTAAGTCTACCAGTGACTGAGGCTTCACCATTCCTCATTCTCCTTGACCCAACTCTTGTCTGCTTTGTTTCTAGTCTTTACTGTTTGTTCAGGATCAATGTTACTCCTTTTCAGTGGCTCTGTTCTATTGATAATTGCTAGGGATTTCTAAATCAGTATCTTCCCATATATACTACATCTTTCTGTTATCTAATGCTTCACTCCCTCACAACCACTGGACATTTTTTACACTATCCACTTGATGAGATCACCCTTTGTACCTGCTATATTTCAGTTTGATATTTTACCATCTTTTATCTGTCTTAATTTTGACTCTTCCAATTCTCTTATCTCTGGATTATGTCCATTAGTTCATTCCTGTACCCAGAAGGTGGGAACACATGCACACATAGCAACGCGGTTCCTTAAATCTAGATGTGTTTTCCTGTTAATTAATCTTGAAAGAGTTAAATATTTCTAGGTATAATCCCTAGTGTCTTCCCTTACCTTCTTAACAGACATGAGTGAAAGAGCTGTGTGAGACCCTGGCTCCTGCCCTTGTACAGCTCTGCCTTTAACCAGTGCAGGGCTTTATTTGGATTATTCCCTTGACCTTCCATTTTCCTGTCTGTAAAATGATGAAAACATTTGAAGACTTAAAACTCATTACATCCCATCTTGGTATTTTACCAGCCCTCCAAAGCTACAGAGAAGTAAATCCCAGACCAGCAGGCATAATGGCTATAGAGGGAAGAAGAACTGACCGCCAAGTGGGGACTTGAAGCTCCCATCTGCACAAATTTAGGCACTATGAGACTTAATAATGTAATGGGCCAGACCTGGAATGTAGTATGAACTGCAGGGAGGCAGCCTAGCTGGAGACTTTTGCTGGTTGTTATACTCCCCAGCACTGCTCTGAGTCTCTTACTCAAGGCTAAAATTGAATGCTCTCCTCAATTTCCAGAACAAATTTCTATTACTGCCTAACAACAACCCCTACAACATTTGAAAATAACAGTAATACTTGCCTATGTCACCTTCATTTCCTAGACTTCTCTCCCCTCTTCCAGATGCCTGAGCATCTGGCTCACATTTTTCCTTCTCCTGTAAACTCAGATCAAATATTCACTGATGTCATGTAGTAAGTCTACCAGTGACTGAGGCTTCACCATTCCTCATTCTCCTTGACCCAACTCTTGTCTGCTTTGTTTCTAGTCTTTACTGTTTGTTCAGGATCAATGTTACTCCTTTTCAGTGGCTCTGTTCTATTGATAATTGCTAGGGATTTCTAAATCAGTATCTTCCCATATATACTACATCTTTCTGTTATCTAATGCTTCACTCCCTCACAACCACTGGACATTTTTTACACTATCCACTTGATGAGATCACCCTTTGTACCTGCTATATTTCAGTTTGATATTTTACCATCTTTTATCTGTCTTAATTTTGACTCTTCCAATTCTCTTATCTCTGGATTATGTCCATTAGTTCATTCCTGTACCCAGAAGGTGGGAACACATGCACACATAGCAACGCGGTTCCTTAAATCTAGATGTGTTTTCCTGTTAATTAATCTTGAAAGAGTTAAATATTTCTAGGTATAATCCCTAGTGTCTTCCCTTACCTTCTTAACAGACATGAGTGAAAGAGCTGTGTGAGACCCTGGCTCCTGCCCTTGTACAGCTCTGCCTTTAACCAGTGCAGGGCTTTATTTGGATTATTCCCTTGACCTTCCATTTTCCTGTCTGTAAAATGATGAAAACATTTGAAGACTTAAAACTCATTACATCCCATCTTGGTATTTTACCAGCCCTCCAAAGCTACAGAGAAGTAAATCCCAGACCAGCAGGCATAATGGCTATAGAGGGAAGAAGAACTGACCGCCAAGTGGGGACTTGAAGCTCCCATCTGCACAAATTTAGGCACTATGAGACTTAATAATGTAATGGGCCAGACCTGGAATGTAGTATGAACTGCAGGGAGGCAGCCTAGCTGGAGACTTTTGCTGGTTGTTATACTCCCCAGCACTGCTCTGAGTCTCTTACTCAAGGCTTCACACTTTCTGTCTCTTTTTTTTCTTGTCCCAACTCCCCACAATTCCCTACCTCCCCAAAACTTAATCTAATTTTAATTCTTAGTCTTGGTTTAAAGCAGATCTATTTCACATTATTGTTTGTATTTATCCAATAAAATTTTAAGTTCTTTAATAAACAGAGCAAATAATTCTATTGCTTAATAATCTTAAAAAAATAAGGAAAGTAAAATTAGATGATGATTTGTATTTCCTTGTGACCTGTGCTTCCCCCTCTCTATTTCTACCCCATCCCTGTAGGTAAATAACCCCTGGTGGAGAAAGGATTCCAAGAGTCTTATTTAAACAAACAAAAAAACCCCAATCAGTTAATCATTTCCAAAGGTCAATCTCTCTCCCATAACCTCTTTTTTGATTGAAATTAAATAAAATTATATAACCTTTGTATGCATTAAAATAAAATCAGAACGACATCTTTTCATTCTCTACTTGAAGCCTATGACAGCTATAACAATTTCCATTGTATAAGACCCAAGGCAGTAACTTGGAAAATAGAAGCTTATAAACAGTGAATTCAATAGGCCTCTGCTATAAAACCCTTGTCAGGCGTAAAGTTAACTCATACAGTAAACAAAGATCTCTTTGAGCATCAGTGGTAGGATTTGATTTGTAACATAGTTAACCCACTGGCGAGAGGTAAAGAACTTCACAATAGGGACTGCATATATAAAATATAGCTTGATCTTTAGTCGTAAACAAGCAACCTGTTCTGAACTGATAAGGGAAAATGAAAAGCTAATCAAAGTAATTAAATAATTGCTTCTTATAGACAGTTATACTATATCATTCAGACTTTATCTCCTTTTCTGTATTTGGGGCTATTTTTTCTCTTCAATAAAACAAGCTTTTATTGACTTTTTGATGTAAATTTGCCCTTGCCTTTTCTTTAAAGATATTACTTTGGAGAATAATTTTTATAATTTGTCCAAGCCAAAGCTTATGGGTTTTCTAATTTCCCCCCTAAAATTAGTGTGATAAAATAATTTTTTTGTTTGTTTACTATGTAAAAATATGATCTGTTTTACACCAAAACTCAAAGCATTTTTAGTTGTTCTAATTTGACTTTATTGTATGTTTTTGCAAAGTGCAAAGACCATGGGTCTTATATCTAAGAAGAAGGTGCTCTGTACTTTGTTCATATTAATTTTGTTCCTTTCTTTTTCCTGTTCAAAGTACAGTGGATTACAACTATAGTGAGGCAAATGATTCCTGTTAAACCCATGGCAGCCAAGACTCCTTTCAATATCAGATGGTCTCTGGCAAGTACAGGAGCAGGATCTGAGGGAATAAACAGAGACGCCTGGACAATGTTAGATACAGCAGATTTTAAGGAGTTCCTATCTATCGCTTGTATTGCCACATAAATTCTCTGGCTTTCTTGTGTCTCTCCATCAGGTTGATGTTCAGGTCCATTTGTGTAAAGCTTTGGTGAGAATGTGAATATCTCCATTGTGCCAGCTTGCTGAGGATTTATCTTTGATGTATTCACTAAAATGGCATTGTTAAAATCCTGCTGGATATTCTGTAGACTTTTACTCATTCTTATTTCGTAACTGTTAGCTGAAATAAAAATTGTAAATGAGAAATTTAAGTTACTTAATTTTCAAGTTTATTAGAAATGATTAATGAAAATTAATCTACTAACAAAAAGTCAAAATATCTACTGACAATCATAACAAGAAATAAGCATATGAACAAAACTTTAAAACACTAATAACAGCTCAATTAAAACCTGAATAAGACAAAAAACTTAATTATGTTTTTTGAATACCAAGTTTCAACACCAAAAGATGTTATTTTTACCTAAGTTATTTTGTAAATTTTATGTGATTCTATTCAAAGTGCTTCTGGTTTCAGTTTTAACAAGCTAACTGTAAAGTTTAAATAGAAAATAAAGAATGAAGGTTAGCCATATAAAATAAAAAAACAGCAATGTGGAAGGATGCTCTTTCAGATATAAAAACACTGTAATGCTCAACAACTAACAAACTTTAGTACTGGTGCGTGAATCATGTCTGAAAGTAGCCCAAAATACATTCAGGAATTTAGTATTATGATAACGGTAGAATTCAAATGAATAGGGGAAAATACAAGTGTCTTGATAAATGGTACTGTGACGATTGGGTAAAAAAATTCGATCCAGACCACAAACCTTTTTCTCTTTTTTCAGGATAAACTCCAAAATGATCAAAAAGTTTGATGTAAAGTATAAAAAAATTAAGTGGGAAACAAGGGTTAAATTCCAATATAATCTCAAAATGAGAAAGGACTCCTAATTAAGACTCAAAATTCAGAAGCCATAAAGAAAAAATTAATAAATTTGAATAAATAAAATGATAAACTTATACATGGGAAAAATCCTCCTAAGCAAAATATAAGCACAAATGTTAAATGACAAAATCATTTGTAATGTAAGTCAGTTCAGTACTGGTAATGGCCAAGTGGCTTCTATTTGACCCACTCTCCANTTCTCCTAAGGGTACTTTTCCCTGCAGTACACATAACCGGAACTGAAAGCCAGCTATCTTCTGGGTCTGAGAAGTCGCAGCACTGAGTATGGGATTGCCAGAGTGGCTGCGAATTGAGGAACCAGAGAGGAACAGGCCCAAATCTGTGTATTAACTTCTTTCAAATCATAGGAAGACCTCTAAATATGCTTGTTTGGATGGAACATCAAGGTCTCATAGGAAAATAATAGCTAGAAGGTGGAAAAACTGAGCAGAGTTTTATGCTAATGCCAACCACAAGGGAGGTATAGAGTTTACAATGTGAATATTGCCAAACTAGAGTAATTTGGTAAATACCTTCGATGTCCACAAAAACAATAGAGAAACCATGCTTTAGGAATAAAGACTGGGTCTCAGAATTAAGGGATTAATTTTAAGATTAAGAGTAAAATTGAAACAGATAATTTACCCAGCCAAAAGTAGAACCAAGCCTCCTCAAATTCAAGGTGACCCAAGGCATCTACTAGAAAAATTTCAAAAATCTTCAGAGGAATATACCAGATTCCAGAGTCTATTTTTAACTACCATATGCCCAACATACAATTTTAAAAAATCACCTGGCAGGTAAAGATACAGAAAATGTGATGTATGGTCAAGAAAAATACAGGCAAATAAAGAGTCACAAATGACTGCAATTTAAAATTAATAGACAAGGATTTTTAAATAACCATGATGAATATCTTAAAGATCTATAGGACAAGTTTTGATATATTGAATGAAGTTATGGGAAATTGAAGCATGTATGGAAATTTTAAGCAAAGAAACAAAGGCAAATCCTAAAATTGAAAAGAAAATAAAATGAAAAAATTCATTTGAATGGATTGACAGCAGATTGAACACAACAGAAGAAAAAGTCAGTAAACCTGAAGGCATGTGCATGAAAATCATCCAAACTGCAGTACTCAGAAAAAAAAGATAGAAAAGCTGAACAAAATCTTAATGATCTTTGAAATCTATTGACATCCATTTAGTGTGCACAATGTAACATAATGTAATATAAATATTATAAAGGAAGAAAAGAAGAAAGAGAAAAGATATTTCTTGAAGATATATTAGCTGAAAATATTCCAAATTTGATCAAAAAGAACACTCTATAGATCCAGGAAACTCAGCCATCCCCAAACAGAATACAACAGAATACATATCAGGAAAACCATACCGAGTCACATCATGGCCACTTGGCTGCACACCAATGATAAACAATTTAAAGCAGCCAGAGGGAAAAAAGACACTTCATGCTCAGGAAAATAGTAAGAATGATTGCTGACTTCTCATCAGAAAAACAAAATGGGGGCCAGAAAACAATGAAATGACGTATTTAAAGTGGTGAAAGAAGAATCAATCATCGTAGAATTCTCTATCTAGTAAAAATGTCTTTTAAAAATTAAGGTGAAATGAATATGCATTTCACATAAATGAATACTTAGAGAATTTCACCCAAAGACCTGAACTTCAAGGGATTGATGTTAATATAAAAATTCAGATCTACAAGAAAGAAGACTAGAAATGGTGACTATATGGGTAATTAAAAAGGATCTCTTCATTTCTTTAAAATTACTTAAAAAGATAATTGGTTATTTTTAAAACAGAAGTCATTAAGTGTGTTATGGGGGTTATAAGGAATGTTTGACAGTAAGATCACAAAGGATGGTGTAGGGGTAAATGGAAATTTTACTTTTGAAAGATTCTCACATAATATGTGAAGTGGTCTGATTATAATTCAATGCAGACTATGATAATTTAAGAAAAGTGCATGTCATAGAACAGCTAAATTTGAGGGCAGGAATTTTATTGTTTTGATTTTTCAAAACAGTGCTAAAATACACATAAAACATATCATCTTAACCATTTTTTTAAGTGTGCAGGTCAGGAGTATTAAGTACATTCATACTGTTGTACTGTTTTGATTTTCAAATCTTGTGAATGTATTACCAATTCAAAAATAAAATTAACAACAAATAATTATTAGATGCAAAAAAAAAGCCACCTGTACTACTAACCCACTCTAATAATATTACAGTTCTTATCTAAAATGGTTAAAAATAGATTTAACAAAGATCAGGGCAGCTTCAAAGGAAGAACTTGTTCTGAGTAATAAAAACCACAGGACACTCTAAGTTTTAATTAAAAAATGAATATAGTTTGGTGACTATGTTTTCAACAGTTCCCAAATCTGTAATAATTTTTAATAACGAGACTATTTATATTCCTGAGTAATAATTAGAGCAAAGCATCCTTAAAGAAGGCTATCAAAACAAAATAACCTTTATGTTCAAATGTATCAACAAGCCAGTTTCCTTTTAGTGAAGATGGGGCTGAGTTGTTTCCTGTTGTGGTTCAAATATAGTGGAACAGATAACGGATGAGAAGCTAGAAGCTAGGCTGACCATCTGCTCTACACTCTCAAGGGAACCTGTCCATTCTTCCTACATCCATTGCTTTCTGTGGAGTAAACCCTCTCTGTAGGGCTCTTTCAGAGTTTTCTCCTAGATAATGAAACAAGTAATATTTCATAAACCTTAGCATTTACAAAGGTTTTCCACATACCCAGCTGTCCCTCTGTAAAGCTGATCAACTCATTTTAAAGTAGAAATAGACTGGGACTCAGGAGGTTAAATGTGATGCCCACAGTCAACAGTTAGTTGTAGTGCTGGAAGTGAACACATTTCTTCTAACTCCCATGTATTTTCTACTATGATCAACTGTTAAAAATTATGCAGAACAGCCACATAACTGCAAAGACTCAAAACTAGTTCAGCTCATACATTTGTGGAGGATCTCCTCCCACTGACAAATGGTTGTCTTTTAGTTTTCCACATACCCAGCTGTCCCTCTGTAAAGCTGATCAACTCATTTTAAAGTAGAAATAGACTGGGACTCAGGAGGTTAAATGTGATGCCCACAGTCAACAGTTAGTTGTAGTGCTGGAAGTGAACACATTTCTTCTAACTCCCATGTATTTTCTACTATGATCAACTGTTAAAAATTATGCAGAACAGCCACATAACTGCAAAGACTCAAAACTAGTTCAGCTCATACATTTGTGGAGGATCTCCTCCCACTGACAAATGGTTGTCTTTTCCCTCTCCCTGTGAAAAAGAGAATCGGGCTGGTTCTGTGTCTTTGACCTCTTAGGTATATATTTCTAGGTTTGATCTCTAACTACTTTCAGCCTATGAAAGTAACTCTATGGCCATGGGTAAGACACTTAACCTCTCAGAGCCATTCCCCTACACTTAAAACAAAGGTCAGATTAGCCCATCTTTAAGACCCTTTTTGTCTTAAAATGTTATAAATGCTGATATTTACTGAGCATTTACAGACCAGGAATTGTTTTAAGTCCTCTCTGTGCCTTATTTCATTCACTTCTCTTAACAGCCCTCTGAGATGGGTGCTCTTACTGCTTTTGCAGATTAGAAATCAGAAGTTCAGAGGAATTAAGTAACCTGCCTAAGGTTACATGGATAAAAGGCAGTCTGTCTTATTCCAGAGCCCAATAGCTTAACACTGTGCTGTGCAGCCTCCCACTAGGCTACACACTGTCCTACTACTTATTGTCTAATAGCTGCTACTTTTCCAGTTACTGAGAGTTATGCCTTCATTAGCACCTTTACCAATAAATTCCTAGTATGGAAAGCCCTGGGCTTGGTTTGAGGACCGAGAGGAAGTTGAAGACTTGGATCCATCTCCAAGGAGCTCTATCTTTACCAGTGGGAATAGTTCACACTTCCTCTCCTCATTTGAAATCTAAGCCATCCTTTACGGATTATTTTAGGTTTCTCCCACACTACTGTTTTCCCAGCTCAGAAGCATAAATGAGCACTGGAAAGCAGGTAGTGGAAAGAAAAACTTTTGTCACTGAGAGGCTTTTACAGAGGTAGTGAATTTTTAACAATTTTTAAAGATAATGTTGAACAATGGTTGTATAAGAACATGATGAAAAGATGTCAGAGGGATCAGTGTGAAAGTCACACTGTCAGGTGTGCAGGGAAGATGGGTCAGGGAAGGAGGTCTGAGATTGCTGTTTTATGTGGTCTGGCCCCACTGCAAACGCTCTGCCCAGGCCCCTGGCACTAGGACCTGGCCTCTCCTCTGCTTCCTCTGCATCCCACACTGATCTCCACGTCCTTTTAAATTCCTTGGCTCCCAAAGTCTGAACTATACAAATGGCACTTTTAACCATTTTATACCTTTTAACTCTCAATAGAGGATCTTGATGTAATGTTTAGCACTATGCTGGGCATGTAGTAGTTACTTAATAAATAATATATTTTTACTTTAATTTCTAAAGAAAACACAAAGGAAATTAACTTTATGGCAGAGATACAGATCATGCTTGGTACTCAATTTTAACAATTATTTTACCCCAGACTTTTAATGAAAACTAAAGGAAGTAACCCATTTCCATAATACCTAGTCCATATATATGCCCAAATTATAGCGATGTGATAATGGTTTGTTTATTCCATGTAATCGATCATCTTTCTAGGATGTTGTGTATGACGAAGAGCTGGCACCTAGATGTATACTGATATACTTATGCATATATGAGATAGTCATTTATCGCTAACAAGGTCTTTAAGAATAGTTGTATTTTTCATAATTATGAAGTTAGAGATATACCTTCACTTTATCTAACTCTGGCCATAGAGGTGAGGATAATTCCTTCCTAGACAATAATCTGTGGGAAAAAGGGGGCTATGAAAGTACATCTTAATGAAATAAACAGGCACCTACTTGTTAGTTGGTCTGTTGACTGGCTAACTGGTCAGTTTTGCTATTGCTAAGTCATCAAATCGGTTATGACTGAGTGATCTCAGCAACTTCATTCACATCTAGCCATTCCCCCCACATATCTTTTGTGGTTGAGGTTTTGACCTTATAACAAACTTAATCTGCCTCCATCACCCTGCTCATCAGTGATGTTGTATGAAGGTGTGAAGGCCTATTTCCTATACTAATGTCCTCTGTGATATCAATTCTAAACTAAAGTCCCATTTGGTTGTGTTTCTTCTTTTCAAACTATTAATCAATGGTAGTGCACATTTACTTTTTCTACTCTTTTAATTCAGTTGTGTAGATAAAACTAATGGGGCTCTTGAAAGGAACAGTTACCAGTAGTAAAGGAGTTTTGTCTTTTTAACACACTACCATGCTTCTGAGGCAGTGAGGAGAGAGGGAGAAGGCACCACTCTTACCTTCAAATAGAGATGGAAGTGTGTGCAGCTCCTTGCTCTAAATAAGAAGCTAGAGAAGGCAATAGCAATGCAAGCCAGGAGTCCAGGAATCTTCCTGGGCACACTTGCTCTTCTTTTTCTGATTTTGTATGTGTCATCTAATTTCTTCTTTGTAATACCTTATGAAATAGATTTAGTCCTAGCTTCTAGATAAGGAAACAGGCCAAAAGAGTTTAAGCAACCTACAGCTGGATTTAAACAGCTGGATTTAAAGCCAGAGTGGGAATCATTTTTTCCTAATATCTAAGATACAGCTGTCTTTACTACACATGGGACATGTCCATCCTAGAGTTTCAATTATTTCACCTCTGCAACCTTTAAATTAGGAGAATCCTTAATTCAGAATGTAAAATATTTTACTTCCTTCTTCTCTGCAAGAAGAGATAGATTTTGACAAAACAATTGGAAGATAATGCTTCAATATTGATTTTCCTGTGCAGCACAGAAGTATTTGTCATTGAGATGCCTTCAGGTGAGTTTAGTGAACAGAGAATTTATAAGCCGAAGAAAGATGACCCATTTGGAAGCAAGACTGGCAAAGGCCCAAGATGGTCACTGTTATTGACTAGTATTGAAAAAATCAGCTCTCAATAAAGGTTGGTTCCTACAGGAATCTCAATCAGGGACATCAGGGAAAAACACATATAATGTGTAATCAATGGCAACTGTGTTTTGGTGAAGATCTTGGAAGAGTTATCCTTTGAAGAAAGTTATTTTGTTGAGTTGCTGTGGGAATCAGGAGATGATGGTGGAAGCCTGAACATGGGCAGATGCCTCGAAAAGGGAAAGTAAAGAAGGAACCTGGTCAGTGTCCACCTGAGCAAGGGTGAGAAAGCCCAAATCAGGGAATGGGTTCCAGCCTTTCAAACAGAAATGATGGCCAGAAGTGGGAGAGGAAAATGTAACAAGTTTTGCATGACTTACGGGAGTGATTCCCCTAAACCTGACTCACAAATCTTTGAATAAATATTCACTGTCCAATTTTCAGAAAACCCATCACCTTCAGTATTTGAAAGTCCATGCTCAGTAATACAGAACCCATTCCTGTTGACTAGATGGCTATTACATGTGGCATTTATGTTCCTAATCAAGGCTTCTGGGTGATTAGTGTCAATTTATCAGGGGCCTCTGCAATCCTGGGTTTGCTGGTGTGCTGTATTCCCTGGACTCCAGAATATAAGGCCTCATCGAGAACTCAAAGCTTTTCATGGTAACCCTCTGCAGTGTTGTCAGTTCTAAGCCCCTGAAGCTATTTTTACCCAAGTAACCCCTGACATAGTTATTAGAAATGCCACCCTGTAGAAAAAGAGGTAATGAAGCCAAGAAACCTACCCTGGCCCTGATCATAGTCTTCCCCAGGTGCTGTCCAAGATAAAGTCAGCTCCTCTTCCGCATTTATAGCTTCCAGGTCAATAATTTTGCATGGTGGGAATATGTTAGGATGGGGGTCAGCTGGAACTCCCAGCACAGAAAAGGAGCCCCCTGAGCTTACTCGGGTGAAGCCCCACTTTTGCTCCTCCTCGCTCATGCCTGCTGGTTTCCATGGGGCATTCATCTGGATGTTACCTGGGACACCAAAGAAAAGAAAAGCTAAGGTGACAGATTACAATCTCCTGAATAGCTTTTGACAGGTTATTGAGACATTTTAAAACTTCTTTTTCCTCACTACATCTTTAGAATAACTGAATTTGTGTATTCAACAACTCATTCACTCATTCATTCATCCATTCATCCATTCATTCAGTAAGTATTTTGAGGGCATATGTTGTCTCAGTGCTCACAGACAAATAGTATGACTCATGGAACTTATAGTCATATTAATAAATATATACATACAGATTGTGATAAATGTAAGAAGGAAAACAAGGCAGGGTGCTATGGAGGAAGATAAGTCACAGGTACATACTTTATAATGGCATCAAAGAAGTAAAAGGTTTCCTACAGGTTGAGTAGCGTCGGCCAGGCAGAGAGGAGGTAATAATTTCCCAGGAAGAAGGAACAGGTTGTGTAAAACTCTGAGGTGCTGAGAGCTTTGAAAGTTAGAGAAACATAATTAAAGCAAGGTAGAATATAGTGTGAGATGAGACAGGAGAGAAAAGTCACGCAGGACCTCATGGGCCATTGTAGTGGTTTTAGAGTTCAATCTGACGTACTGTGGGGAAGCATGGCGGTGACGTGACTGCATTTGCTTCCTAACAGTTCGCTCTGGCTGCTCTTGGTGCAGAATGGATTCCCATACAGCCAGCACTGAGGCCACTAAGACAGCCAATGCAATAGTCCAGGCAGGAGATGGCAGTGTGGGCTGGGTGATGGCAGTGGAGCGGAGGCAGGCAGTAGGCAGTTCAAGACGTGGTTTGGAGATAAAACCAGCAAAAGCCAGTGATGAATTTGAATATGAAATGGTGAAAGAAAGTTGGTGAAAAAAAAAAAAAAGAAATAGCTCCCAGGTTTCTAAAATGAGCAACTTGGGAGGAGGAGCAGGTCAGAGGAAAGGAGACTAAAAATGTTATGTTTGCAATCCCTGTAGAACATCTAGTTGAAGATAAAAAGGATCCAGTTAGATATGAATTTTAAACTCAGAAAAGAGGCTTTAGCTAGATTTAGTAATTTTGAATTTATGCCATATGAACTAATGAGATTACCTCATAAGAATTTCAACTATAATGATAAATAGCATTTATTGAGTGCCAGTCTCACTATGTGTCAGGTACTTATCCAAGTACATTACATATATCAACTATTTAATTTTCCCAACAAAGCCATAAGGCGCATACAATTATTATCTCCATTTTTCAGGATGATGAAATGGAAGTACACACAAGCTAAGTGCTCAAAATCACCCAAAGCTTGGTTTCAAGCCCAGGCAGTGTGGCTCCAGTTGCTAGAGGGAGAGGGTTAGGACTGAGCTCTGAGAATTGCCAACATTTAGAGGCTTGGTAGAAAAGGAGGAGCTGGAAAAGGGGCCTGAAAGAGAATTCTGAAGAATTAGAGGTAATCAGAAGAGTGCAGTATCATAGAAACCAGGAAATGACAAAGGAGAAATCACTCAGCTGTGTCGCACACTGCTGATGCCAGGTAAAATGAGGACTGAAATGTGTTCTTTGGATTGAGCAGCAGGCAGTCATTGGTGACTAGGGCCAGAGCGATTCCAGTAGAGTTATTTGGGTGGAAGTCAGGTTGCTGTGAGAAGAGTAGTAAATTGGCAGTGAGAACTTACAGTCAGAAGGTTTAGATTAATTTCAAGGAACTGGATGATGGAGATTAGGGAGGAGGACAATAGCTGAAAGGGGGCCAAGAAAAGAATTTTTAGATATGGAAGTAATAAAACATGCCTGAACACTGTTCGGAGGGATTAGTACAGTGGAAACATGCAAGGTTGAGCTCTCAAGGTCCCTGGAGGAGCAGGCTGAGTGGGAAGCAGAGCAAAATGGAGACAGTAGTCTTTGAGGAGCAGAGAGGAAGGTTGCAGACACTGCAGTGTCTGGTGATCTGGTAGTGTGAAAACAGAGCAGTTCCCATTTTTCAATGAAGTGTGGGCTAAAGACCATCACCTAGTGAGCTGACAAAGTGAATGCTATGAATGTATAGTAGGTGTGCCTAGGGAAAACTCTTTCTCTCTATGCTATATGAAGCACACAGATAAAAGCACAGTTGAATATTACTTTTCTATTCTCACTGTACACTAGATGCTGATATTTGTATCCTTTAAGTCCATTGGTTTTAAGAAGATACTATACCAGTCAGTAGCCTGCAAGATCCTTGATAAGAATCAAGTCTTATTCTACCTGGTATTCGAAGTTCCTAGGACTAGACCTGTCACTTAGCAGGCCTTCAAAAATGTTTGATGTATAAATGAAAGAAGAACTATATATTTAAGAATGAAGTATTATATCTAGATACAAAATCATATCCACATAATAAAACGATTTTACTTCAAAAATTGATTTACATTGGTTTTGAAGTAATCTGAATTAATTTAAATACAAGTGAGAATAAATAGTGTTCTAAGCAACAATAAAGGTTTCAGGAGATACAAATTCACTGAAACATTTTGATTGTTTTCTACTGAAAAGTACATACAGAACAACAACATGAAACGGTTGTTATGGAATAGTCCAAATGATTAGTTATAACTGCTAAATACATGAACAGTATTCATAAATTCTCCACACTTTTGGAAAGAATGCTTTAAAAATGTTTTTTTTGAGATTAAGGACTTTTAAATTGTTTGTTTACATTTTTTTTGAGATTGTCAAAGAAGAGGTCAAAGATTATAGCAGGTATCGGCTTATCTGTTATACTTAAACCAAGGCTTCCCATCTGAAACTACGATTATGGTGTTTAAAAAATATGTGTGTCTTCTATTTATTCAGTACTTTTATCTTGAAGGGAGACAGAACATCTTTGGAAATCACTCAGTTCTCTGTAACATCCAAACTCACTTCTTTCAGGAACTCATTTCCTATGTGGATTTTTTTATCTGTTTACTTCCTTCTTTCAACCACTAACAACGTTTTGCTTCTTTCTTTTGCCTAAACCTTGTAGAGGAAGTACAGGAGCTGGAACTGAGAAATTTAGTACATCTCTTAATTTGTTAGTAATTCTGATGAAACAGTCACAAGAAGAAGTCAAAATAATGACAACAATGAGGGAGGAGAAATCTGTGGGAATTAGCTCTTATTGTCCCCTGCTATGTATCAGTGAGGACTGAAGAGTCAACAGATTATGCATTCACTTAAGTATAAAGAATTTTGAAATTCTATTGTTCTCTTTGTCTAACACACACACACACACACACACACACACACACACTTGTTTCTCCCTCTCTCGCTCATCAGAGATATATACATTAAATGATGTTATTCAAATGACAGTGCTAATGATTCTTACCATCTGCTATGTAGCCTGGCACATACAGAGCATGACTCCCTGGAATCGAGTGGGCTAGGCCACCAATGCTGGGAGAGTAACTGACATGCACTTTCAAGCTATGTCTACCATTTACAGTGAAGGAGAAAAAATACCTCGAGTAAATTCCATCATTTCTTATAATATCAGCACCTGCATATATAAAAAAAGCTCAGTGTCAACATTTGTCTTCAATTGATTACTAGTACCTAATTATAAAAAATGAGATTTATTCCCCTTTTAGCATATGCACTTGGGCTAAGCTATACCTCCCACTATGCTCTGGAGTCTAGACCCTTCTGCCGTTCAGTCATTCCCATTTTAGCATATGCACTCATGTTCATAGTACTTCTGGTATTGTCAGATGATAAAAATTCCAATGGTCCATAATTTCTTGGTGTGATTTCTTAACATCTGAAAAGTGGTTATCTACAGGTGAATGAGTTGTACCTACTTTATACTAATAAAGCATTTAATAATCACCTTTAAAGCTCTCATTCCTATCAATGAAAATAATACTACTTTTTCACAGAAACCAAGCATTCTTAAGTTTGTCTACGGTCACAGACCCTTTTGAGACTAAAGATATTCTGTTCCCAGGAAATAAACATGTATGCATATACACACACACATTTCATACAATTTCAAAGGGTTTTTGAATGTCTGAAACCCTGATGAAAAAAAAAACTGATGGGAAAAAAATGTTTTTTCCTGAAAAGTAGAGTGAAATTATTTCATTTCTTTATTAGAGGGTATATGGAACTGTTGTTCTAGATTCTAAGGGGCTCACTGGCTTGGAGTTTGGGCTTTTGTTCCATCTGCCATGCTCCCAGGAGGTATTCTGAAAGCTTGACCAGTGCTAGACTTCCTTCCTTGCACTTCGAATCTTAGTGAACACTTCATTTCCAAACCAAGTCTATGACTGAAGGGCAGAAGGGCCTAGACTCCAGGGCACAGTGGGAGGTATAGCTTAGCCCAAGTGCAGAACACATTCACCACTAAAGAGCAGGAGGTCACACTGGGCATGCAGCTTGGCCTATCCTAGAGTCAATTCAGTTTTCCCACCACACACCCAGCCCTGTTTCCTAGCACTGTGTCACCACTCAAGTGCTCTAGGATTCCCACCACAAAGGCAGGGCTGCTCCTTAACATGAGAAAAGTAGTATATTTAATTAAAGTAAAAAGTGCTAAACAGTCTATTATCATAGTAGGTTTAGACAATCTTTTAGCTCTTGCAAAGAAACCACATCTTAATACTTAATGGTTTAATGATGAACAAGATCTATCTTTGTTGAGACATGATAAGGGAAATCTATCATTCCACAGTTACTGCTGCTGCCTCTTAATCACTGAGTCAGAAAGAAATGGAAAAGAACACTGGCTTGGGCATCAGGGGACTTAGCTTCAAGGTCTGGACCTGCCACTTTGGAGCTGTGAAACAATCACTCTGAGCCTCAGTTTTCTCATCTATAAAATGGGGATAGCTTATCTCGCCGGGTTGTTGTGATGGTTATTTCAGAGATGGTTATTATGTGCGTGAGAAAGTATGTTTTACAAGTATAAATTTTATCACTATTAATCTTTCTAGTAGATAAATACTGCTTCCATTATAAGAAGTAGACAGGTATATACATGTATGTTAAGTATTGGGGGAAAAACTAAATTTACACTTTGATGCCTAAGCAATATTTTCCATTGTTTCTTTTAGTAGGGTATAGATTTAGCTATGAAATAAATGAAATGGTTCCAGGGAACAAATATAAAAGCTGTTAAGCTGACTCAGGTTATTTTTCCTAAGAGAGCAGGATCTGTGCTCCAGACCAGCCCATAGGATGGGGCAAGGGAAAAACATTCTGCAAACTGCATTTTTGGACTGTATACAAAAATTGGAAAGTGTGACTGCAGGTGAGTCACCAGAACATGAGATGTTCACTTGGATCCATTCCAATAGACAAAACAAGAGGACCTCTCTGGTATCCCTGTGAGGTGTACTTGAACTAAAATTATCTAAATGAACTTTTGTGTCATACAAAATTGTCCTGGCAAGATACTAGTGGGTTACCAAACCCAAGATTCCTGAAAAATTTATTGTGAAACAACAGAATGGAGGAATATGATTTTATTACTAGATAAAACACTTGGTGCTGCCAACATAGACTTTGAAATCTATTGTCATTCTGAGAATTTAGTTTAGGGAAGGAATAGAACAGGAAGAATAAAACAACAAAGGACTTTGTTTTTAAAAGTAAAAAAAAAACTAATCGGGAAGAAACCCCGTGTGCCATTCCCCGGCCTGATGCCTTGCTGTCTCTGATGCGTGATGATGAGGCTGTGACTCCATGAGCAGAGTGAGGGCTTTGGAGTAGGGATTTTTTTGTTTTACTTTGTTTTTCCAGTGGTGGGGAAATGTGTATCTTGTCTGTATCCTGATTCCCCTAGGCTTTCTGGCCTGGTCTTCTTGTGACTAAATCATACATGTTAAAGGCACTGGCTCTGACTCCTGTCAACCCAACTACTCTGGCTAACTAGTCTAGGGTCATCTACTGAGTCCCGAGTTCAGTTTCCAATTTTCTCTTCGCAGCCAGTCCAAAGAGACTGCCACTGCATCTCCCTCGGGTTTTCAGTTACTTTTTTAATTGTCCAGTCTTACTATTTCTGTGACCAGTAAAGCTGGAGAATCATAGAGAAGTCCCAGAATGCCACAAGGACCTACAAACCTCTTCCTGTGTGACCTGACTGCATGTGGCCCGTGTCACTGGCCAAGTGAAAGCCAGACTTACATGTCAAGCAATTTCCTGCTACCCATTTGCTCACACATAGCCACTCTGAGACTCTTTTTCCGAGTTCTCATTCCCTTTCCTTGTAGAGATGTGACCTGTAGCTACTCAGTATGTCAGTGATTGTTGGAGGTCTTGAGAATCTCATAAGATTGGATGAGAAAAATAATGGAATTGAGGGAATTTTATAGATTAGCTTCATAATGGTACAGCAGCATCATAACACAGCAGTTCTGGGAACATGAAAAATGACATGACATTCCTTGTTACCTGCTCCATCATCAAAAAGTGTCAGCCTAATAGGATCTCCAGTCTCTGGCTCAACTGTAGCAGTTACAGAGGCATTGAGAATGGGATAAAACCCCTTTCTCACACTTGCGTAAATCATGACAGGCTGGGGAAAATGAGTGCTGTCTCTTTCCACAAAGGCTTCCACAGTGGCAGGGGGCACAGCTGAGCGTGAGGCGCGAGAGGTCACTGTCATTCTCAGGGCTTGAAGAGAATGGTGGGTATTGTTCAGCATGTAGGTCCAGACCCCAGGCTGCAAAACAAAGGCATTTTGTTTTGTCAAGTGTGAAGAAAAAAATATTCACCCCTTAATTTTAAAGCCAAATCTAAGCTCCTAGTCATGTTTGTTCTTGTTTTGTTGGTTTTGCATTTTCTAAAATACTACAAAAGAATGTCAGGAAAAGTGATATCGGTTAAGGGATTGCTAAATTCAGTGATTACGTGGCTTTCATGGCACAGCTCACTTTTATTGTTAGGTAAATATTTAGGGGATTATACCCTGAATTTATTTGCTGGGGAGGACATGTTCTGATTCACATTTTTAGAAGATAATGATAAATATCCAGCTTCAAGTACTCTGCAAATATTAATCTGAGTTCACCTAAAAGGAGTTTTATTGCTTTTATATAACTGTGAAAATTACAGCAAATTGACTGGACAATTATGATTTATGTGGATTACCTGGATTAGAAGGCAGGTGAATCTTAAGTAACAAAACCCATATGCGTTATTCGGGACCAAAAAAAGGAACACTGTTTTTTAATAGTTCAGAATTCTGCAATATTTATGTTGACTGTTTTACAGAAATATTATAAAATACCATTCTCCTTTGCCTGTCTAGGCTGCCTGGGGGAAACCTGCCAAAGAATGTCTGAAAGAAAAAAGCTTAAACTACAATGTAGCAGAAATTTGTTCATTTGGTAAGACTGTGCATCAATAGTCTTTTTCTCCACCCTGCTATTGCTCATTATTAAGCCCTGGAAGTATTTGGAGGAACAAAATAGACCAGGAGGAAGAGAGAAAGCAGTGGGCTGAGTTGTGACTCAGTGTGGACAGTTAAGATGCCACCACACCCTGCCCTGCCTGCTTCATGGGGTCCGTGTGCTGGACATTTCCCTGTGAAGCCACAAGTCAGGCATTAAGATCACCTATCTATTGAGTTATTCTTTTTTTTTTTTTTGTAATTGTAATGTTAGTAACAGACACATAGCAGGAGTCTCCACATAAAAACCTTCTCTTTGGGTGTAATAAGTGTTTTGAGACAGGGCACCTAGTCCTGAAAAGAGGTCAGGCAAAGGCAGCAAAAAGTAGGTAAAGTCTTCTTGGTCCTTTACACAGGTGTGAAAAAAACATGGTAAGTTGGGAGAGAAGTTAAGGAGGAGCAGAGCACAGGGTGTTTGGGAGGAGGGTTAAGAGATAAACTTGGACGTAATTCAGAACACAGAGGGCCTGGTATGTAACAGTAACCACATGGATTTTATCCTGAGACCATCAGAAAGTTTGAATAGGAGGTAAGTTTGGTCAGATTGTGCTTCAGGAGTGCACTGTGACAGAGGATGAGAGGGATGCTAGCCCAGAGGCAGGGAGGCCACAGCAGAGGCTTCAACAGTGGTTGGGGCAGGGGTGGGGTCGGGGGGAGGGTGAGTGGGGAATGCAAGAGTCAAGAGTGGATCTGGTCAGGTCACCACCCTGCTGAGGACCTGAAGTGGTTTCCTGTACCTTGAGGCTTCGAGCTCCTGCTCCCTTTGCTGGCATTTGGAGCCCTTGCTGACATGGCTCCCTTCTAGCCTCATCGTGCCCTCTTCTTTCCTTCTATTGAATCTCCACCTTACATGCTCCTGTGTCGTTCATCCTATTGACCTACTTACAGTTCTATGAAGAACCATATTCTTTTTTCTCTGAGCCTTTCTGTATTCTGTTTCCTCTCCCCAAAATCTCTCTCATACCTCTGGCTCCCTTATCCTCCATGTTTCCATTTCAATGTCTTTGAAAGGAAGCTTTTCCTCCCCCTCCCCTCCCTACCTGTACATCCCTCCTGTATGCTCTGAGTACTCTGTTCTTATTCCTATTACGCTATTTTATCATACAGCACCTAGAACAATAGCCAGCATGTAGTGGATGCTCAAAACCATGTATATTGTATGTATTCATATTATAAATTCTAGGTGGGTTCTTTTCTAAACATAGAGATAACTTTGTATGGATTTTGTAAAGAAGGAAGTAAGCAAATAGAGATTATTTGTACTACATACATGCTAATTTCCACTGTTGACATGAGAAACCTGTGATATCAATTTAAGTTTTGAACATACCATAGTTGTTCTTCTTAAAATTTTAACATTAAAAAAATGCCTTATTATGAAATTAAAATTTTTTTGATGTATCAGAATAGGATTTCCTTTACACAATGTACTTAATTATGAGATTCAGTTAAAAGTCATGCACTTGATTAAATGTAGTCATTATGAACAAGCTTAAAACACCCACCTTAGCAGTTCCTGGAATGCGCAGGCGAGCAGTCTGCAAAGCTAGGTTGGGGATGAAATCATTAGTGTAGTATTTTCTTCCATTAGGTTCGAATAATACAATCTCAGGGGGGCCACTGGTCTGCCATGTGACTAGAAAGGTAGTGTCATTGCCCACACTATTATCCACAGTCACAGTGCTTTTCAACTGATGGTGAGGTTTCACATCTTCACCCATACTTTCAAGCTGTTCAAGAGAATATGTATGTGAAATTTTCTGGTGTATGCATAACATTCATCTTTTTCTTTTATGAAAAAAATAAATTGACAAAAATAAAAATAATTTAATTCTGACATTATATTTGTATGAATCACTTTTCATGAAAATACTTCATGAAAAGCAAAATATTGTCTATTACAGTACAGTAGATACAAAATATTTTGTTATAGTTAATGCAAGTGTCACTTCATTATTCTGAGATTTTATCTGTTCTCATACTTACCTCTCTTCCAAGTCAACATTAGCTTCAGATCAGCAATTATAATAAACTTTTTATTTTTGTTTGTGAATGTGCTTAAATGGTTGAATTTTTTTTTGGTATCATTAATATACACTTACATGAGCAACATTGTGGTTACTAGATTTCCCCCCTTATCAAGTGCCCACCACATACCCCATTACAGTCACTGTCCATCAGCGTAGTAAGATGCTATAGAGTCACTACTTGTCTTCTCTGTGCTATACTGCCTTCCCCGTGCATAATACTCCTTTTTCCCCTTATCCCTCCCTTTCCACCCATCCTCCCCAGCCCCTTTCCCTTTGGTAACTGTTAGTCCTTCAATGGTTGAATTTGCATGTTGTCCAGATACTTTTATGTATTTTAATAAGAAATAAAACACAGGGTTTCAGAGGGTTTTGGTACATTAAAAAATCATTTAGCCATTTACAATAAGCCCAGTGCATGTTCATGTGTGTGTGTGTGTGTGTAGCACATACAGAGTGCATACAGATGCTGTCACTGTGGTAAATGCTTTACATTTATTACCTCACCTAATCCTTATGAAAACCCTCTGAGATGATTACTATTGTTGTCCACATTTCACAGATGACAAGACTGCAGCTTAGAGAAGTAATTTGTCCAGTGTCACCTAGCACGGAGGTGGAAGTGGGATAAAGCCCAGGAGGGCTGACACCAGAGCCCCTGAGTTTAATCGTAGGGTGTTCACAGTGGATACAAGTTTGTAAATAACTTTGAAAAATTCTATTTATTAAATAAATACATGAGTAAGACTGTAAAATTGCTCGTACTTGGAAAGCATATAAAATTTATTGGTGGATGATAGTAATGATGCTGTAGATTATTTCTTCAAATCAATTTTAGAAGTGTTGTGGACTACTGACCACTGCTGGGCTCTGAGCTATTGAGGACATAGTTGCTGCCCACAGTGTCATGGGGCTAATGACATACAAACATCTGGAGAGAGGTAGCAAAGTTTGGGAACATAAGGCTACTTGGAGCCTTATGAATAATATTTTGTTAGTTTTTTTTCCCCTTTAAACATGTTTTTATTTCACATTATTAAATAGGAGATCAAGGATAAAATTATTCAGAAGAGTCAATTGTAGTCTAATCTATAATATATATTATCATTTATACTTTACCTTTTTTCACTTCTGATGTTGAAATTGTGATTAGTGCCTTTACTGTGTACATATAATCTTTATGTTGAATAGTTCCTAAGACTAATTTACTGACTTTACTGTTCACACCAAGTCGTTAACTTGGCAGGTACACTTACCATCTGTAAGGAAACAGCAGATGAAATTTTGTACAAAACGTTGTTCAATCATGTTCAAAATATCTTTATTTAGAAAAAGAAAGTAGCTCTTTTAAAAAATAGCTTGATAGAGGAAGTTTTTGTGTGCAAAGTCAAATAGATAGTTGAAGAGATATTTAGACATTTTTAGAATTTAATGAAATAGGTGATACTTTTTGTATGAGGGGGAGCTTCGAAAAAGTTTTTTAAGAAGTGAAAGTAGAGTGGATTCTGATTGATGGAAAGTTATTATGGAACTAAAACTAAACAAATGGTTTCTTATTTTTCTTCTGGGCTTACTTCCACCTCACACCCTATCCCCATCCCAACTTTGAACATGAGAAAGGAACCAGTTTTCCTTACAAACCTTAAAAGCTGTGGTAGCCGGTAGAAAAAAAATCACTCTTAAGGGTGGGTAAGAAGTATAGATATCAGGTAAAACTGAATCCTGACTCTGGTGACACCAAGAAGCTCATTGAATGCCTTCCACCCAAGGACTGTTACATATTCAAATAAGCTTAATGGGCAGTTAACACAATTCATCTACTGTCCTTGCCTCATACCCCCTTGTCACCAACCCCATCTGTAAGTACAATACTGAGAAAATTCTGACCTGAATACGTTGTTGAAAAACGTCTCCAGTTCCAGAGGGAATTTTACTGAAAGCATCAATCATGCTATTGGAGTTTGATTTATCTGGAACAAAGAACTTTAAACCTCCTGAAATACATGATTGGGATTTATTAAAATGTGTAAAATGAAACAAAAAATAATATGTTAATGCCTTTTCTAAAAACCTTTCTTGAATAAAAAGGTCACTTTTGGGGAAGTAGGAGTTGTGTTTGACTTGCTTTACATGGCATCCTACACAACCACATGGTAAGTGGCATGAGGCAGGTGGTCTGTCCTGTTCATAGTTCTAATGTCAAGGCCTAAACATCTACCCGGATCATGATAAAAAGTCAGTAAATATTTATTGAATAGTCTTGTGATCAAAGTAATTCTAGATAGTCTAGGTTAATTGCTGTCTATTGACATTGCTATATATTTACATTCTGAAAGCATTGTTTGCAATAGTCTAAATTTCAGTTTTTGAGTCTGCATACCCATTTTTATCAACTATAGGGATTATAAGATAAAATTATTCTGTGCCTAATTTAGAGCACAAAAAGATATGTATATTACAATACAGTATGTATTCTTATCATGAAAGTTAGTATTTTGTAGCTCATGATTATACATGCCCAGGCTGGTTTAACAAAGAAATTATAAAATAGCATTTTCATTGGATGTATATAATTGGCTCCTAAGGAAAATATTAAAAATTCAGCAAGATTTTAGCAATGATTTTTGCTTTTTTCTTAAGAAATCATTCTATTTTTTTCAACTAGCCCATATATTCTGTTGACATAATCTAAATTTCATTGTTATGCTTTGACTATGTTAAAAGGAAATGCTCTAAAATATGTTTTTAGAAATTCATTTACCTGTAAGATGTGATAATTCCTCCAGGTTTTCTACCACAGACGAACCCAGGGCTATGGAATGAATGGTTGAGCCACTGCTGAGCACAGTGAGTAAACAATTGCCAATATGCTTATCATCTCCACTGGTCACTAATATCATCACAGAGCCATAGGCTTTTCCATTCAGTTTTTCAACCACCTGAACATAGAATATAAGTCATTGGAAGGAAATGTAATTTAAACTGTCTAGCTGAGCAGATGGATTCACCATCATTCCAAATTCCCCACCAGGTGGGGAATATGCCTCTTTGGGGTCCCCTATAGCTCCCTGCACTCCATCCCCATCCCCATTCAGTCCTCAGTTCACTCCATCATAGTACTTGTCATCCTCATGCCATTGTTGGTTTGCATGCAGACAAGACTCTTCCAGTTCAAATCACCATGATAGGCCCCAGTTTAGAATAGTGTCCATCACAGAGGATATGGGGGAACATTATTGTGTGAGATCCTTACTTCTGAGACTCAGTGTAGGACCAGTAAGAGGCACTGGAGCAGCAGTTCTCAACCTGGGCTACACATTAGACTCAGATGGGAAACTTTAAACAATTTTAATATCCAGGCCACACTCCAGATCAATTAAATCAGTATCTCTGGGGGTGAGAGCTAGGTTCAGAAATTTTTTAATACCCAGGTGATTTTAATGGGTAGCCAAGGTTGAGAAACACTTCCCTTTAAGCAACAACAGTTGTAGTTGATCATCTTATTTGTTACCAGATGTTTAATGCATGGTGTTATCCTAGATGTCAAATCCAATATGTTGATATTGTTGAATCCATATGTTGACTGAGATGAACTCTGTCATTCCTGAAACATACCTCTGCCTTAACTGGTTCTCATTTCTTGAGGTCTAGTATGAGCAGGAGCCAGGAAATCTGACTTTGACTGGAAAACTCATGGGTAAAAATGTCACAGTTGTGATGATCTCAGAATGGATGGGGACAGTATTAGAAATTGTCCAGATGATACTGAAGTCTCCCAGCCTTGGCCTCTGTATTAATTTATTTACTCATTCCTTCAGCAAGTGTTTATTAAGTAACTATTATACACCAGGTACTTTGCTAGACACAGAGGGTTTAATGGTAAGCAAGACATGATCAAGACCTTAAAGATAGTCATCATCACTCTCCTATGGTTGCGGCTGTTACGACCACCCTGTAACAGATTGCCCTAGGTCAGAAGCAGCCTCAGATGCAAGATGCACAAGAAAGTGATGGTGAGCCAAGGCTTGGGATGCTCTCCTGTACCTCAAATCCTTTCTTAAGCCCTGAGCAGATGCTGGGTTCTGCTTCAGATGACACAGAGGTAGGCAGATTGGAAACCAACAGCTTTCGGTCATCATCACTCTTAATTTGGTGTAGTTGGGCTCTGATCTCTCCTTTGCTGCTGAAACTGGCAATTCCCACAAAGGTATGAATGTCAACCACCTGCATAAGGTAAAATTCTGCTGCTTGTTGTAGTCGAAGGAATCTGTCAGCCTATGTTCCAAAAAGGAAAAAATAAAGATAATATTTGGTTGTTAGACAAAAGTATGACCAAGTAACTCAATTAGCAAATATCTCTGCTAATTCTTTAGAGATGTGTTACAATTTTTTGTTGTAAAAAGTGATGCAGTACTAGAATATTATTTGATTTAATTGTAGGCTCAAAAAATGAATGCTTTTTAGGAAGTTGAATGGGGAAGTTTGGAACTCTGCCCCCAGTAAGCTGTTCATAATTACCACTCTCTCAGAACACTTATCCCCACTATTTTTGTCCAACTCAGAATTCAAGATCTGTGGAACCAGTTGAGACTAGATTTGTAACTTCTTTTAAAATTCAACCTGGATACAAGGAAACATTGAAAAGAGACCTTATGGTAAAGAGAAGCAGTAGTCAGCGGTATCTATCCTGTCACTACCCTCTCTTACCATGGTCGTCTTCGGCTGGCACTTCATCTGTGAAGTGAGAATAACAATATCTTTGTTACTAACTAAAATAGAACTGTTGTGAGGATCAACTGAGATACACTATGACAGCACAGTTGTACTTTGTGGTACAAAGCAATTATAAAGTAATATTAATGACCAGATTTGGGCAGGTGATACTACTGATGAGTTTACTAGGGTTGCTTGTTGAACAGCAAGCTGAGCTTCAGTAACTTACTGATGGCTTACTGATGGCTGTGGTCTGTCTCCAACCCAGACACCTCTCTTAATATATGGTTCTGCCTTTCACATTGTTTAGGAAACATAATGTCCCACAGGTATCTCAAACTCTACATACTTTGAATTCATTGCCTCCCTTTCAAATATTATTTCTCTTACAATATTGGCAGGTAAGCTGGTAGAGCGGATGAAAAAGAACTTTGACTCTTGTGTTCAACTTTTGCTTATTATGTGACCATAGAGAAACTCTATGTCTTTTAGCTTCAGTTTTCTTGTCTGCAAAATGGGTACATAGCACTCTAAATGAATAGTAGCTATTGCTAACATTATGGTCATCAAGTCATCATTCTCAATCATGACCTCTACTACCAACTAGTTAAGCCAGAAACCTAGAACTCTCTTTTATTACTCCTCTCTTACCAGCCCACATATCCTTGAACAGATCCCACCAACACAATGTCTTAAATGTCTCTCAAATTCATATCATTTCTCCATCTTACCTGACATTTCCTTATACCCACCCACTGTTACTTGTAGGCATACCAATTGATATACTTCCCCCAAACAAACCCTTCTAATTTTGCCTCTCAGCCACTACACACACTCTCCCCTTCCCTGGAATTCCTCCTTTCCCCTCCCTCACCTCACTGAACCTAGCAACTACTTTCTCATCCTTTAAGATTCAACTCCAAATTCATCCCTTCAGTGGAATCTTCCTCAATCACTGTCTTCTGTAGAGCTGTTTGCTACCTCATCAGTGCTCTCACCGCAACTCACACCTCTTTAGGGCCTTCTCACATTTTATGGTATATATTCACATGTACATGTTGTGTCTCCTTCCTTAGACTGTGAGCATTTCAGAGACTATAATTGGCAGGAAAAGGGAGGGAAGTTTGCTTTCCTGTGAGTTTGTTACTTGAGGCTTATTTCTCTTCTGCTTATTTTGGATCTCTCTCAAGTATAACTATGTTTCCCTTTCACTCCATCTATTTTCACTCAACAAAGACAAAATAGCTAATATAAACTACCCTGAAACCATATTTTAGAAGATCATGCTATAATAGTCAACAGGCAGGTAAGATTATAAAATCATCCAGATACTGAAGAATATTCCTGTATTTCAGAGACAAGCAAAAAATGGCAAGTTTTCCAGGACTACTGATCCAAAGAATATTAGAGGAGAAACTCTCCCTTAGGACAAGCACTATAATAATATAACAGCTACCACTTATGAACCAAAAACTTCATATGTGTTATATTAGTTATTCCCCCTCAACAACCTTATGAAGTAGGTAGTGGTATGATGGTAAATGTTTAAAAACAACTGGCTTTCTGGTAAAAGAGAGAAAGAAGAAACTCCTGATTTGTTGCAACTGCTGGTTTCTGTGGGGTAAATACTCCCACCATGGCTGATTTCAAGCTGTCAGTGTGATGTCATTTGGAAGAGACATGTAGTAGCTGACCCATACAGGTACAATAGACTAGAAATAACCTCAAGTGCATAGATCAGGCATCAGCAGACATCTTCTAAAAGGCCAGATACTAAACATCATAGGCTTGGTGGGCCAACAAATGTTCTCTGCTGCAGTTCTGGCATTTTAGCACTAAAGTGGCCATAAATAATAAGCATTGCTGTGTTCCAATAAAACTTTACTTATGGATACTGAAATTTGAATTTCATATAATTTTCACATTTCATGAAATACTATTATTCTCTTGATTTTTTTATAAGCCATTTAAACAGTAAGCCCATTAGCTTGTGGGCTATGCAAAAACAGTTAGTGGGCCAAATTTGGCCCATGAGCTGTAGTTTATAGCTTTGGACATAAATAACAGTAAAAATAATAGAAAATTATTAGTAAGTAATGAGTGCTGAGCACTTATTATGTTTGTTTTAATATATTTTATTTAATTATAAGTCTATATAGTTTAATTTTTAATAAGGGCTGTGTTTAACAACTGGTTTACTAATTTCCTAAAAATTCAACAACTGACTTTTGTGAGCCAATATGAGCTAGTTCTGTCAAATCACTGAAAGTGGGAATTATTATCCCTATTTTACAAATGAGAAGCTGAGCTTCAGAAAGGCTATTTTGCTCTTAAGTTCACAGACAGTAAGTGAAGGAGCCAGGATTTGAAGCATACCTTCCTGATTCCTAGACTAAGCCTTTACTATTGGAGTTCTAGAGCTTTCAAGAACGGGTTTCTAGGCTGCTAAATTGCTGGATGACTGAGATATGGTTGTCTGTCTACAATGGCATGGAAAATGTGTGCATAATGGATATGCACATTCTCTGCAAACTCAGTCTGTTGCCTTGGATGCTTACCAGAGAGTGGAACGTGGTCAGACAAGAGATTTTTGTTACATGTTGGAGTTTTAGAAAAGGGTCTTGGTTGGAAAAGGCTTAGTAGGAACAATAAGGGTTATGAATTATCTGTGGATTTCATTTATGTGCCTTATTTCAATTTCTGGGCCATATTCTGAATTTGTTCCTCTTGCCCTCACTAAAATATGAAATCCGTGGCTGTTCCAAACCTTGGGCCTGTCCCCTTGTCCTCTGGTAACAAAAAAAATTTAAGAACTGATAGAACAAAATGATGAGTGGTTTACAATCATTCTGGTCCAAAATGTTACCTCCACCATCTTGCTGGACACATCCAGCACTAAACAGACCACTTTGTTTCCAGCCTGCACAAGGGAGAACATGGGAGGCAGTGGAAGCTCAGTCCCGTTCATGGGAAAGCTGTGGGTAAAGTCAGCAGAGTCCGTGATTACGTCCCATGCACTTTTGAGGCTGCACATTTGGTTCTGTAGGTTTGGAGCTTCTTGGTTGTGGGTACTTGCATTACAGAATTCAACCACCTAGAAAAGAACAAAGGCTGTAAGAGAGTAAGGGCAGTCTTCCTACACCAAACATAGTTCTATTCTCAAGCAACTAAAGGTAAAAGGCAAGGTGAGCTGAAATATGGCAAACCAGAAGTGCTACAGCATGTTCTTCTTCACTTCAGAATGACATTGCACATACCAATAAACACTGGCACCCTTTGCTTGAAATACTGGCACCCTGTGGTACTGAGACAAATCTCTATTCTAGTTTATTTGCACTTTGATAACAGAGAGCAGACCATGTATGTATATCTTAGTGTTGAAAAAAATGAAAACAATCTCCCACCTTCCTTTTCATGACAGTGTGTTAGAGAAAACACCCAGGAGGTGTTATGTTGGCCAATGTATTCCTTGAATCGTATTTAATGACTACTACGCCTTTATTAATCAGTCAGCCTATTTGATCTAGTTCAAATATTGATCTCTATAAGAACAAGATAAGGAAAAAACCAACTTCACTCTACTTCCTGATCTTTCCTCTTATTTGGAAATATAGATATAATTCATTTAATTATATTAAACCTATATCACCCCTTTTAAAGGTATGGTTTGCATTGCCAAGCAATGTATTGCTCTCTGTCCCCAGTGGCTATATTCTTACACAGAATGGACGCTTCCTTGTAGCAGAGCCTTAGGAACTTAGGGCTAGAAGAAACCTTGTAGACTTTCAGCTCCCATCCCTAATTTCATAAAAGAGGAAGCTGATGTTTCAAGCAGATAATAATTGGTTAAGGACAAGAGTTCTTAGTACATGAGGAGATAAGATTAGGCCCAATTTGTTTTTGTTGTTTTTTTGTTTTTAACTCTTTTCTCTATATTGCATGACTATGATTAGAGGATGGTAAAACTTTTCTGACTGGATAGTAATGAACATGTCTTTTAAGGATCACAAAGATAACTACCTAGTCAAAAACAATGTGGATAAAATATGTGGAGTCATGTTGGCTTCAGATATTAAAACTATTTGAAAAAATAATGGCTCAGGCAGGAATAATGCCTGAATAATGGATGAAATATCACCTTAAAATTACAGAATGACTCCTAGCCTTGACTAAAACCAGACAGAAGAAAAAAGGTTATCTAAGAAAAGAACATGTTAACTCAGGGGCATGGTCAGCTGTGGGAAGAGAAAACTTCACAGAGGCACATGCCCACGTGTCACAGAGGCTCCCAGCCCTATGAAGAGGAGATGATCCACAGACAGATAGGACTTTCAGGTTTTTGTGAAGGTGGATGGATATATCAGGTCATGAAGGCTGCTGCTACTAAAGCTCTTTATTGCCAAACTCCTCTTCTGATTCTGTGTTCTCAGATCAGGCTTCTAGTGAGCATGTGGCTGTTCTATGCTGCTTCCTTCACAAAAAAAATGAACTGACCAGAGGATGCAAGTATTGGATCCCCATAACAATTGGAGTACTCTTTTTAAATAATAATTTTAAAAATGGTGCTCTGGATTCATACACAGTCTCTTGTCAGTTAGTGTAGAATACCGACAAGGTTGAGTTTCTGAATGTGCAAAGCTAAGGGCTACTTGACTGCTCTTTGTAATACCTGACTCTTCTTTGAAATTTCTCTACTATGCAAAAAAAAGGGAAAGAGAATTAGGAAATGCAATTAAAATGAGAGTGTTTTGCTACTTCAAATGAAAGAAATGCAAACATGTGTTATATTATTCTTATTAACTCAGTATACTTTCCTATAAAAGGACACAGGAACACCACCGGATAAGCAATTTATTTTGAGGTCTCCTGAGCTCCTCTTGTTAAATCTCCTTCCCTGGAAAGTGAAAAATCATGTTTTGAAGAAATCTATTTTTGGTGGTCATCCTGGGGGCCTCAGTTTTTTAAATCTTTAAAATAAAAACTAGATGAACTCTAAGGTGCCCCAGTTCTAAAATGCAGCACATCTGAAATTGCCTTTCTCTTTAAATACTTGAAACGTATCAGTTTATATTGGGAATAGATAGAATCTTGCAGGAGTGTGTCATTCCAAGGTCATACTTACAGAAGATAAACTTTGCATAAACATTATCGATGCAGTTGTATTTTGGGTGCTATTGTATATAAACATGCATCCTTCTTTGAAAAGCTTGCTAATAATACAGTTTTCTTGGGGGCAAGGGCCTTTTTCACACACAAAAATGCCTGTAATGTCAGATGAGCACCTGAAAATAGAGAAATGAGGTGTGTTTTTAAAAACACTTATGTTTCTTTCATTGGCTCATGTAATAATTTGTTGCAAGGCTTGTAGTTTGATAGATACACGTGAAACATTTTTTAAAACACTCCATTAAGAAAGTTCACTAATTTAGAAATGCACTCCACTTTATTTTAATGCACTTGTTCTTGATGCGAGGTTCTATATTGTCAAGGGTTTTACCAACTAACCAGGGTCAAAGCAAAAGATATCAGGAAATCAACATGAATTTTGGAGGCTTGTGGAAGAGCATCAGTGGCAGTATCCTCAGTCAGGGCCCCTTTGAGTTCATTGCCATTGGACATCAGGGCAGAAGAGAATGAACATATAATGATGATATTTAAAAGAATTCCTTCCTAAATAAGCAATATCAAATGCTATTGATGGGAGTGAAAAACATAGAAGCTTTAGGAGAAGAATTGGTCAGTATCTACCAAAATTATGGCTGAGGGAACTGTCTAACCTGGTAATTCTTGGAGGTTATTAAACAGATATATAAATCTTCTTGCATACATGAGGAATGACAGATATAGAGTTATGACCTGTAGTGTTATTGGTAATAACAAAAGATTGGGAACAATCCACTCGTCCAATAGAAAACTGGTTGAAATATGATGATACATCCATCCGCACTATGGAACACTATGCAATTGTTTTAAAAAAAGAGGGAAAATACACATTCATATTTATCTGAATTTGCCTGAAGAAATACTGGGAAAATAAACAAGAAATTAATAAAAATGGTTATACTTAGCAGGGATGGGGGGAATAGGGTGAAGACAATGGTGGGAAGGAGATATTTAAAAGAGTGTAACTTTTCATGTTATTTTGATATTTGAAGCACATAAATATTTACCAAATTTTTAAAAATGCAATTAAAGTTAAAAACTGAAAAACGAATGGATCTCTTCCTTATCAATTAAGTGTAAGCTGTCATTATCAACTTCATTTTTGAGTCAAAAAATAATGATTTTAAACATGAGAAAAAGTACTGACCTTGTTGTTTTAATTTGATTTTTCCCATTTACGTAGAAAGGTTTCTCACTGTTATATTCATCAAACACACCCCAACGGAGATGGGCCCATTCGTGAACAAACACTCTGCCTGTGGAAGAGAGAGCTTCTGTTCTGAGTTCCTAAAATCTCAGCAGTGCGTTTTGATAATCAGTGAAGTTGTAACATCACTTGACTCTATCTACTCATTCCACAGGGTTGAAGTGCAAGTTTCTCTCCCACTTTTCTCTTCCCCACTCTATTCCCATATCCTTCTACTTCACCCTCCAGCATCACAAAAGAGGCAGTATGAAAAATATGTTTAGTCCCGTAAATGCAAACCGGTGATTTACTTGTTGCAAAAAGTGGTGAGGAGCCTCACATCTTCTCTTTTTCCCAATGAAGTTGCCAGCAGGTTTCTATTTAGCTCTATACAGGCCTATAATTTTAGGATTTGGAGAAAGGGAAAGAAGCATAGCTAAATGCAATGGACTGAATGTTTATGGCCCACCAAATTCATATGTTGAAATCCTAACCCCCAGTGTGATGGTATTAGGAGGTGGGGCTTTTGGGACGTGATCAGGTCCTGAGGGTGGAGCCTTAATGAATGGAATTAGTGCCCTTATAAAAGAGACCCCAGAGAGCTCCTTTCCACTTTCTACCACGTGAGGACACAGAGAGAAGATGGCCTTCTGTGCACTAGGAAGTGAGTCCTCACCAGACACCAAATCTGCTGGTGTTTTGATCTTGGACTTTCAGCTTCCAGAACTGTGAGAAATAAATTTCTGTTGCTTCTTAACTACCCAGTCTATAGTATTCTGTTATGACACAAATGGACTAGGACACCAACAAGCAAATAGAGCTTTCTTACACTTCTTTCAGTGTTATTCAAGTATGCCTGCTTTTTTCTTGTAGGTGTTTCTCCTACCTAAAAGAATGATTAAAACCCTGGGGCCAGGGAGGAAGGAGCAAAAAAAAAGATCATGAACCTCTTCTCCTGCTTGCATCGTCCTTTCATTCTCTTTTATTTTATCCCTGATTCTCCATGTTTATATTTTTCTCCTACTCTTGGTTCATGGAAACTGCCATCCTCAGCATCAAAACCCTATAACTTTATCTCTACCTCCAAAATATTGCATTTCTTTCAATGTTTGGATCAAAACTGACTTCTCCCCAGTAGAAGCTTTCCAAATAACTCCTCTCCTGAAGTGCCCTTTTCTTTTTTCTGAATTCTTTTGAGTTCTGGGAACCCAGGAAGTGTTCACTGAGTTGACTCAGGCTGTGGCATACTGTGGAACTTGGACAAAGGGAGGGTGCCGTCTAAGCCAGAAGCGGTAAGGGAAAGTTGTGCCTATTTATGGGATTTTTAAGTGCGGGTGGAGTCAAATATTTGTGCAGAGATTGTCAGCACCTTATATTTACCAGGAAAAAAAAAATTTTTTTATAAGGTGTTTTATAAAGTGTGTTTTATAGAGTGGGCCACTCCACTTCTTGCTAGCTATCCAGATGATAAGGAAATCTACTTCTATGTAAATAGGGGTAAAAGTGAAAACATCATTCAAAAGGTGCTACTTGGTAAATGTTAAAATCAAAATCAAAACATTAAGAATGGGACAGTTAGCCCATGACCTGCTGATCTTTTCCCTCTAGTTCCTCCAAGATCTCATCCACTAAATGCCAGTTTCCAAACCTGTGACCTTGGCTTTTCTTCCAAACTCCAGTCATTCCTCTACGACCCAGTGGGACCTTTCCTCCAGAACGCCCCAGTGCTCCTCCCTGTCAACCTGCCTAAATCCAGACTCATGCATTCTCCTTTACCCCCTCCCATTCTGGGTGCATTCCTTAGTGCTGCCCACACACTCCTTTCCTTTCGCTCTGTCGTTCTTTTTCCTCCCTCTGGAACATTTTTCTCTTTTTTCCCTTTGGAATATCTCTCATCACTTAAAAGTCGTTAGGATTGAGTAAGATAATAAAATAGTGTCTGCCACAGAGAAAATTCTCATTATTCTGATTACTGTCTTCCTGACCTTCTCTCACTGCTTCCATTCTCATTCAAGTCTCTTCACCTCACCCCTGGGTTTTCCCCAGGTGTTCTGGTACCCAGTTTCCCTCTTACTGATTTGAGGGAGCCGGTTATCCACACAGCCAGATTAACCTCTTTAAAATTGCTTTGGTGGTTTTACTCTGTGCTTATGGACCTTTGGGGTGCTTGCTAATTTGGGCATTTTAGGTGCTCTGTCACCTATCCCCATGTGCCTTTCAGCATTTTCTGCCACCATTCACTGCCCACAGTCTCTTTGCACTGTTGGTGGGGCCTGCTGCTCCCATCATTTCAACATGTTCTGGATTCCTCTGTTGCCATAGTTTTATTCATGTTCTCTTCCTTTCCATTTATCAAAATCATACTCAACCTTGAAGATCCTCTCCTTTGTGAGGCCTTTTCTGATCATGCTTAGCTCAAAATGTTCTCTCCTTTCACTGAATTTTTGCAGTACTTATGTCAGGACCACTAATTGTTACTCAACTCTTTCTGGCTCACTTTTTCCCTCATTTTCTCATGGGCACATGGCCTATCTCCCCATCTAAATAGTAAGTCCTTGGCAGAGTTCAGGTTCTCTGAGTTACTTTCAGCACCAAGCACACAATATTGTAGATAGTACTGCCCAATGTCTATTTCTTGATTGGTTACACTTACCTCGTGATCCATAGCCAGCTGTTAAGCGATCATTTAATAGAAAGTTAGATGTGAAATGAATGTATTTTCCCTCTTTTCCACACCCTCTGTATTGTAGGGTGTATGGGTCATCTCCATGTGCCCCATACCAGTCAGTCACTATGACATTTGCCTAAATTAAAAGAAATGCACTGTAATGCTCTATATCCCATCTCTGATGTTGGTGACACAAACATACTCATTTGTTAAAACATTTTGAACTGTACAATTAAGATCTGCTCATTTTACTATATGAATTACATCCTGATTTAATTACAGATTTTAAAAAAAGGAATGCCTTATAAATGGAGTTTGAAATGCATTCACAACTAAATATCAACAAAATTATTAGGCAATTTCAAAAAAATCTGTATTTTGAAAGCTTAGCAGATTTCCATGGAGCTTCACATCTATTTGACCTTCCCATTTTCCAGATTGAAATGTTCTTAAATGTCAACACTGAATCCTGACATTATAAAACAATATAAAATGTAATAAAAAATATTTGAAGAAATGATAAGAGCAATTACACATCATTCAGAACTGTCCTGTAAAATAATACAGCCTTTTGGGGGAGTAAACAAGATGGCAGCATGAGAAGTGAGGCAGAAACCACCTCCCAAAACCACATATAACACAAAAATACAACAAATACAACTAATCCTGAAAGAGCAACAAGAAAGAAGACTGCAACAAACAGCCTACATCTGGGGAAAAGAGAAGACCTCACAGAAAAGGGTAAAGTAGCAAAGCCATGATCCAGTGGGACCCAAGCCCTCCCCTCACCCAGCTCATTGGTGGCAGGGAGAGAAATGGAGTGGGGAGGGAGTAGAAGCCAGGACGGCTAAATACCCACACCTGGAGATCTGCTCTGGGAGCACAAACCCACATCACATGGTGCTCTGGAGATTAGAGGGGTTGAAAAGAAAAGACAGGCAGAATACTCAGACTGAGATTCCAGCTGCTTGTGGAGAACAGGTACCCACTACTGGCTGCTCCAGAACAAAAGAAAGGCGGGGACTTTGAAAACTTCCCAACAGTGAGAAGGCTGCTAAAGGGGAAAGGATTACACAGAGATCAGTGCTCAGGACAAAGGACAGGTGGACAAAAATGTCCCAGAACACTCAGCCCAGCAGGTTGGGAACTTTCAGGAGCTTCATGCGCTCTATTCCCCAGGATGACAATGTAGTGTCAAGGACCCCAACTGCAATATGCAGCCTGCCATCCCTTCCTCCTGCTCAGCACCAGTTCTCTAAACTGCTGCCCCTGCCATTGCACCAGGCCAGCCAGAGGGTGGCGCTGACTATGGCAGCTCTAAGGGCATAGCATAGAGGATCCTCCCTGTGTGCTCAGCCCACAGGCCCTGGCAGTGGAGGCAGGTACTGCAGGAAGCAGGAAAGAGCTATTTCCACCTGGCAGACACTGGTGCCACATGCTTGTGACCCCTGCCATTGCTTCAGGGGTTTGGCAACTCCAGAGAATAGAGCTTCTGGGCACTAGAGGGCACTGTGTACACAAAGTTATTATTCCACAGTAATCATTACAAATATGAAATGGCAAAAGAAACTGGTACAAACCAAAATCCCTCAAACACCAGAAAGAAGGCTAAGTGAAACTGAAATCACCAACCTGTCTGATACAGATTTCAAAATAAATATAAATATGCTCACAGAGCTACAGAAAAACATCCAGGAACTCAGGGAGAACTACAAGAAAGAGATAGAAACATTGAAAAATACAGTATCTAAAATGGAACATACAATAGAGGGATTTAAAAGCAGATTAGATGATGTAGAGGAGAGAGTAAATGAAAAAGAAATTAGAGAACAGGAAAACAAAGAAGCTGAGGCACACAGAGAAAAAAGTATCTCTAGGAATGAAAGAATATTAAGAGAATTGTGTGACCAATCCAAATGGAACAATATTCACATTAAAGGGTACCAGAAGAAGAAGAGAGAGAGAAAAAGGGATAGAAAGTCTCTTTGAGCCAATAATTGCTGAAAACTTCCCCAATTTGGGGAAGGAGATAGCCTTTCAGGCTATGGAAGTGCACAGATCTCCCAACACAAAAGACCCAAGGAAGACAACACCAAGACATATAATTATTAAAAGGACAAAGATCAAGGACAAAGACAGAGTATTAAAAGTGACCAGAGAGAGAAAAAAGATCAAATCCAAAGGAAAATCTATCAGGCTTTCATCAGACTTCTAAGCAGAAACTTCAGAGGCCAGAAGGGAGTAGCATGGTATGCTTAATGCAAAGAAACAGAAGGGCCTTGAACCAAGAATACTCTACCTAGCAAGATTATCATTTAAATTTGAAGCAGGGATTAAACAATTTCCAGATATGCACATGTTGAGGGAATTTACCTCAACTTATCTATATATAATCACCATAAATATAAATGGATTGAGTGCACCAATCAAAAGACATAGAGTTACAGAATGGATAAAAAACAGCACCCATCTATATGCTGCCTACAAGAGACTCACTTGAAAGCCAAAGACATACACAGACTAAAAGTGAAGGGATGAAAAAGATATTTCATGCAAATATTAGGGAGAAAAGAGAAGGAGTTGCAGTACTTGTATCAGACAAAATGGACTTCAAAACAAAGAAGTAACAAGAGACAAAGAAGGACATTACATAATGATAAAGGGGTCAGTTCAACAAGATATAACCATTATAAATATCTATGCACCCAACATAGCAGCACCTAAATATGTGAAACAAATACTAACAGAATTAAAGGGGAAAAGAGAATGCAATACATTCATTTTGGGAGACGTCAACATACCACTCATTCCAAAGGACAGATCAACCAGACAGAAAATAAGGAGACAGAGGCACTGAACAACACATTAGAAAAGATGGATCTAACACACATCTACAGAACACTCCACCCAAAAGAAGCAGGATATACATTCTTCTCAAGAACACATGGAACATTTTCAAGAAGAGATCACATACTAGTACACAAAAAGAGCCTCAGTAGCTTTTCCTGAAGGAGGAGCCAAGATGGTGGCATGAGTAGAGCAGCAGAAATCTCCTCCCAAAACCATATATATTTTTGAAAATCCAATCAATCCAACTATCCCTAAAAGAGAGACCAGAAGATACAGGACAACAGCCAGGCTACATGTACAGCTGCGAGAAGCCAGCACCTCATGAAGGGGGTAAGATATAAACTGCGGCCTGGGGGGACCTGAGCGCCCCTCACCCCAGCTCCCAGCAGGAGGAGAGGAGTTGGAGCAGGGAGGGAGAGGGAGCCCAGAACTGCTAAATACTCAGCCGTAGCCATCCACACCAGGAGCACAGACACACAGTGCATGGGGTGCTGGTTACTAGGGAAACAGAACAGTAATAGCTGTGAGTGGATCCCTGCAGCCGGCACCCCTGGGACAAAGAAAAGCGTGTGCATTTTGAAAGTCTTAAAGTGACAGGAACCTCACAGCTGGATGAAAGCGTCCCGGGACACTCAGCTAGGCAGCTGGGAATCCCAGGGAACTCTGGGTGCCCTAACCCTGTGGGCGTGAGCACAACTCTGAGGTCCCTCATGGCGATAAACAGCCTCCCGCCCATTCCCCCTCTGATGTGGCTCTGCCATAGTGGAGCAGCAGTCTGAGAATGGCCATGCCCACAGCAACTGCAGAGCTTACTCCACAGAGGCTGGGCAAGAATCAGAGACCCAATCTGTGTGCAGCTTCCCAGCACAAGCCACTAGGGGTTGCCATTGTCCCAGGAGAGGAAGGCCACAAACTAGCAAGAAGGGACGTTCTCCCAGTTGACACATGCGCCAGCTCCCCACAACTACCTCTATCACCATCAAAAGGGAGACGAATTTGATCCAGACAAAATCACAGAGACAACCCCTGAGAAGGAGCTTGGAGAGATAGACCTAACCAACCCCTGAAAAAGAATTCAAAATAAAGGTCATAACCATGCTGATGGAGCTGCAGAGAAAAATGCAAGAGCTAATGGACAAAGTAGGGAGGGAGACTACAGTAATAAAACAATCTCTGGAAAGATTTAAAAGCAGAATGGATGAGATGCAAGAGGCCATTGATGGAATAGAAACCAGAGAACAGGAATGCATAGAAGCTGATGCAGAGAGAGATAAAAGGATCTCCAGGAATGAAACAAAACTAAGAGAACGGTGAGACCAATCCAGAAGGAACAATATCTGCATTATAGGGGAACCAGAAGAGAGAGAAAAAGGGATAGAAAATGTATTTGAAGAAATAATTGCTGAAAACTTCCCCAAACTGAGGGAGGAAATAGTCGCTCAGAACTCCCAACAGAAGGGACACAAGGAGGACAATACCAAGACACATAATAATTAACATGGCAAAGATCAAGGACAAGGACAGAGTTTTAAAGGCAGCTAGAAAGAGGAAAAATGACACCTACAAAGAAAAACCCATTAGGCTATTATCAGACTTCTCAACAGAAACTTTACAGGCCAGAAGAGAATGGCATGATATATTTAATGCAATGAAACAGAAGGGCCTTGAACCAAGAATACTATATCCAGCACAATTATCATTTAAACTTTAAGGAAGGATTAAACAATTCCCAGACAAGCAAAAGTTGAGGGAATTTGCCTCCTACAAACCACCTCTACAGGGTATTTTAGAGGGACTGCTCTGGATGGGAACACTCCTAAGGCTAAATAGATGTCACCAGAGAAAATAAAATCACAGCAAAGAAAGCAGACCAAACAAATACTAACTAAAGGCAAAAAATAAAATCAACCACCCATAAAAACAGTCAAAGGAAACACAAAAGAACACAGAATAAAACACCCAACATATAAAGAATGGAGGAGGAGGAATAAGAAGGGAGAGAAATAAAGAATCATCAGACCATGTTTATAATAGCTCAAAAAGTGAGTTAAGTTAGACAGTAAGATACTAAAAAAGCTAACCTTGAAACTTTGGTAACCACGAATCTAAAGCCTGCAATGGCAATAAGTACATATCTTTCAGTAATCACTCTAAATGTAAATGGACTGAATGCACCAATCAAAAGAATCAGAGTAATAGAATGGATAAAAAAGCAAGGGATAGAAAAAGATATTTCATGCAAACAATAGGGAGAAAAAAGCAGGTGTTACAGTACTAGTATCAGAC